ACATAGCATGGTGACAGTGGGAATGAAATGCAGAGGAGCAGATTACAGAAATTGCAGAGGTGGAAGTGGTGAGGCAATATTTGGTACACAGGCGAGAAGTGAAAGGTAGCAGCGAGAATGATCATACCACTGACGATGATGGTGGAAACAGGAGAAAGAGTAGCAATTACTTCAGAAGGGAAGATGTTTGATTTCTGGATATGTTGGTTAATGTGCTAACAGAACACCTAGAAGTTCTTGTCTACTGCTTACTCAGAAACGAGCATTTGGAACTCATGATAGAAGTCAGGGATGGAAGCAAAGGTTCGGGAATTCTCTGTAGCAAGGTCATGGTTTTGCTGGGATTGTGGCTAAGATCTCCAAGGCAAGACAATGTAAGGAGAGGAGGGAGGGGCACAGACAGAACCTCCAGGTTTATGAGAAATAGCAACAGAGTACTGTTTCCTGAGCACCTGGTTTCATATCTCATTGTGTGAAAGTGCACTATGAGAGCAGCTTTCCTCTTTTTTGACTATAATACTATGTGACTGCTAAAAGAGATGAAGCATTCTGTATATTAAAGTGTTTCTTAATGGCTTAGGAAATAATTTCCAAAATATAGCTAGTGCCTGTGAGCATACAGGTTAAATTTTACAAGTCAGCCATAGTTTTACTGTGTCAAACAGGCCCTAACTTTAAAAAACAACAGCAACAACAGTAAACTCTCTCTTTAATTTGAATGTATCTGCTACATTTCAAGTTTTCTTCCATTCTCTGTGCAGAGGTTCCTCTCCCTAATTTTTATCATGGTAATTTTCAAACATACAGTATGGTTGAATGACTTTTTAGTGATTACTTCTATACCTATGACCTAGATTCTACTATTACTATTTTACAGTAATTGCTTTATCACATACTTCCCCATTTTTTATTTCTATGCAGAGATTTTTGTAAAAACATAGCTGTACTCGTAATGCAAAATTTATATATTGTTTTTTTAGTAAATATTAAAACAAAGATTTTCCCCAAGTTATTACAAAGTTATTTGTAAACATTGCTTAAATTAATTTAAAATATTTTATTAAATACTTCATACTAGAGGTCACTTAATGATCTGCATCTTAGGCTTTTTTTTTTTTAACAAAAAATACTATTAGGTCCATTTTTATGCTAAATTCTTTTCTATTTTTAAGTTTTTTTTTTAAAGTATAGATTTCCTTATATCTGAAGGAAGCAAAGACTCTATTTCAAAGAAATATCTGCAGTCTCATGTTCACTGCAGCATTATTCACAATGGCTAAGACATAGAAACAACCTAAGTGCTATGACAGATGAATGGATGAAGAAGTTGTGGGGTGTGTGTGTGTGTGTGTGTGTGTGTGTGTGTGTAAAGGAATATTCAGCTGTGAAGAAGGAGGAAATCCTGCTATTTTCAACAACGTGGATGGACTTTGAGGGCATTATGCTAAGTGAAATGAGCCAGGCAGAGAAAGACAAATATCATATGATCTCGTCTATGTTTGGAATCTAATAAAAAATAAGCCCCAAACTCAAACTCATAGAAGAAGAGATCAGATTTGTGGTTACCAGAGGTAGGGATGGATGAAGGGGAAATTGAATGAAGGTGGGCAAAAGATACAGACTTCCAGTTATAAGTAAGTACTGGGGACATATTGCCAACGACTATAATTACCACTGCTGCATAGTACATATGAAAGTTGTTGAGAGAGTGAATCCTAGGAGTTCTCATCACAGGAAAAAAAAAATTTTTTTGTATCTATATGAGATGATAGATGTTAACTAAACTTATTGTGATAATCATTTTGTGACATATATGTCAAATCATTATGCTATACACCTTAAACTTATACAGTATTGTATATCAGTTATATCTCAATAAAATTAGAAGAAAAAAATTCCCAGAAAGGGAAATGTTAGTAGATCAAAGAACATGAACACTTAAAAGGATTTTGATATTTGTTCCTAAATGTTTTTCAGAGGCCAAACTTGCAAGTCAAACCAGTGTATGTGATGTTTGCTTCACTATATTCTGACCAGCCTGGGCATATAATTTAAAATAATATATAAAAATTTTAATAAACCTGGCAGGGCCATGGGGCTGGTCCAGATGCAGATGAGAACTTCCCTCCTTTTTAAAGTGTTTACTTTTGGATTGATGGTAAATGGAGAAGCTTTTGGGTCATGGCTGAGGCTTAGGATGAAGTGGGAGAGGGAGGGATGATGATGAAGAGAAGAGATTCAATTCCTCCTCACTCTTTACTGCTTTTTTAAAAAAATTGTTGAAGCAATCTCGAATTTAAAGAAAAGTTACAAATACAGTACACTTTTTTCTCTTGAACCCTTTGGGAATTTATTACTTTAATGATATTTCATTGCTCAAATACTTTAATGCATATTTCCTATAAAAAGGGGAAGGGAATTAAAAAGTACAGACTTCCAGTTAAAAAGTAAGTCATAGAGATGTAATATACAGCAGAGGAAATAGAGTCAATGTCATCATAATTATATATGGTGATAGATGGTTACTAGACTCCTGTGGTAATCAATTTGTAAGGTAGATAAGTGTTGAATTACTATGTTGTATATCCAAAGCTAATATAATATATATATTTATATATATATATATAAAATATTGCATGTCAAATATAATTAAAAATAAGTTAAAAAATAATTTAAAAACTAAGATATTCTCCTAACTACAGTATAACCACACATATCATAAAATTAACACTGATGCATTACTACCATCTAATATTCATATCTTACTTATGTTAAGATATAAATGTCTTAATATCCATTACAGCAAAAGAACATGTTCAAAATCAGGTGTTACTTTGACTTCTAAATCTAAACTGATTTAGAATGGTTCCCTACTCTTGATTTTTATGGCTTCAGTGGTTTTGGAGGGTACAGCCAGTTATTTTGTAGAATGTTCCTCAATTTTGGTTTGTCTAATTTTTTTTTTTCAAAATTACATTCACGCTACACCTCTTTGGCAGAAATACACAAATGTGATCTGTGTTCTTTTCATTACATCTTATCAGGAGGCACAGGACTTTGATTTGTTTTATTACTGGCATTGTTCATGTTGATGACTTGTTTAAGGTGGTATTTGCTAAGCCCTACTGTAAAGTTATTCTCCTTGTAATTAATAAGAATTTGGTAGGGAGATATTTTGAAACTATGTAAATATCCTGTTTCTCCCTCTTGAATCAACCTTCCTTCGGAACTTCTCTCTTTCTTTCCCTTCCATCTACCAATTATTCAATCATTTCATTTTGGATTTATGGTTTCCTGTTTTGTTCAATGAGATTATAATCTATTACCATACTACTTATTTTGATGCCTCAAATTGTCCCTGATTTGGTTAGTGGGAGCTTTTCACTCTTGACTTCTCTGCCTTTTTCACACATTCCAATCATTTTTTGACACTTCTTTACTTTCTGGCAGAAGATGTTCTTGGTTCATATTGTACTTTGCCTGTTTCAGCCATTTCTCTGAGGAACTCTGGGACTTTTTAGTGCAGGATGATGTGTAAGAACCAAGATCTGGGTGCTTTGTGTGTTCATTACTATGAGGTTGTCACTGCTTTAAGGCCTCTATAGTGGACTGAGGAATGTGTGTTCAGGTATTTACCTCTATATTTGTAATCTCTCTATTGAAATATATACATTTATATCTCCACTGATCTCTATTATTCTAAGTCCACAGGGTTCATTCTAGTTTTCTCACCTTTCCCTATTTATCTTTCTCTGATAGTGACAAACCTGTCAAAACCTGGTTCCCGTTATTCTTTACACACACATTTATGTGATCTCTCCTCATGTATGTGACCAATCTCTCATCAGTGTGGCTGCTGTCACCATGCCATGCCATCCTTACCATGCCTGGACTCTGCACCCTACCCCAGGCTGTCCAGCCATGTAGAAGCCTTCCTCACCTTACTAGGGCTTTGATTCCTGTGCCAGGTTACCCCATCTACATCTCACATCTGCTCTGATTGTGGTGCCCTTTTATGGAATCTCCTCCCTTTCCCATAGACTGCGTGTGTTGGTGCTAAACTGTTTGAGATGAGGAACAATTCATAAATGCTCTTAAGAGCCCTAGTGGATTTTAGCTAAAAGACCAGATCTCTTGGCTCATTCAGAGAAATTATTCAACCTTTAATTTGTTCAACCTTAACGTGAGAGGAAAAGAGAAGCTGGGCTGTGGTGTTTACCTTTTACCTGCAAGTTCTTCACCAAAATCCCACATCATATCTGCACCGTCTCTTTCTAGTTGCTGGTATTATAGGGGACTGAGAAAAACGCCAGCTGAGCCTCATGGGCTCCCAGCCAACTGGGGCAGGTCCCATGGGAATGTGTACACCTGGAAATGCTGGTTCCCCAGGCAATTTCTAGAAAAACAGAACAAGGGCACCACCTTCATTTTCTGTCCCAAACTGGAAAGGGGCTCAGAAAATGTTACCTCGATTCCAGGAGTAGAAAGATCTCTTCCTCCTCTTCTCTCTGACTTGATTGCCCCATTGCAAGCTGTTATCGTGTTTTGTTTTGTTTTTTCTTTGGGAAGGGAGGACTTGCTGCCATCATCGTTGAGGGTGGAGGCTGGTATAGGGGGCAGAGAGAGCAGAGGGAGAGCTAGTGACTATGGGGCAGTGAGGGTAGGATGTAACCTGAGTTTCCTGGCAGGGCTAGCCACAGGTTTTCTTTCAGGAGCTCTTGCTCCGCACACAGGAATGCTAGAGGTTCCCGATCGATGGGCTTCACAGTGGAGGAGAGGGCAGGGTGGCAGCTACAAACCTGGGTGCAGTGGACAGATTGTTTAAAAATATCTTTGCTATCTTAATACGTGATGGAGAGTATCTTATTGTTTTATTTTGTACTAGAAATATGTGATTTCTATGCGTGTTACTTTTCCTAAGTAATTTTCCTGGTGCTATTTTTCTTAATTCTCTGATGCTGTCTCATGTATCATTAATTTTTAAAAATCATTTTTTATAGCTACCACAATGTTTGAAGCTGGAAGAGACAAAGGTAATCCAGATGAATTTGCTGTGGCACTTGACCAAACTCTCGGAGACTTTGCGTTCCCAGATGAATTTGTCTTTGATGTTTGGGGAGCCATCGGTGATGCCAAAGGAGGAAGATTATGATGTGGATGTTCCGTCACTGGAAAAATGAACCATTTTGTTCCTTTTTTAAAAAAATCTGTAAGACCTGCTTTTAGACACTGTTGTGGACTCTAGTTTTGTTTATGTGTATAGAATACATTCTTTGAAATATAATTTTGATTTCTAGGTACTTTTTAATGCAGTTGTATATCTAGTATGCTTAAGATATATTACTTAAAATATCACTTTTAATATTCATTCAAAAGCTTTTTTAAAAATAAGTTTTAGGGAGTATTTATAGATAGATGATTTTGCTCCCCACTAATACCCATCTTTTATTTTCTACATATAAATAGTTGATTGTAATAACTTTGCAGTTCTTTTGCAAATTTCTGATTCAGTGAAAATTAGGATTGGAGTGTGATTTGCTTCATAGCACCTTCATTTTGTTAAGTAGCTTGAACAGGATACGTTCAGGAAATGAAATGTGAATTATGCCTACTATAAGTCTAGAAGTATCATTTTAATTTTTTTACTCCACTAAGGGGAGGAAGATTTCTACAGCCTGTTGACATCTATGGTCTACTTTCTCTCTTTGTAAAATAAGGATTGATTGACTTTTATATTTTGCCTATTTATGATTGCTTCTTTGCCTTTTAAAACCTGTTGTTGAAATCTATTGTGCTGTGCCTTTGTTTGCATGTGTGGAAGAAAGGTGAAAAAGACAGATAGGGTAGAAACCACTTATATTTGATTTTGTTACAACAGTTCTTAAAACATTTTTCTTTTTCCACCTGTACATACTTTTATGTTACTCTTTATAAGCACTCCAGGGAAGGTTTTTATTGTCTTTATAGAACTTTTCTTTGAAAGAGATTTACTAAGAAAATAACTATGTTTGAGAATACTTTTCGGGTGAAAGAGCAATGCCTTTAAACCCCCTAAACTTTAGAGGAGATGCTATCAGAAATAGATTTCCCTCCAGTGGAAATAAAGGAGGAAGAGAGAATTGAGAAAATATATTAGCCTATTATTTTAGAATTCTAACAGATCTTCTCTAAAACCATACATTATTGAGGAAATTGAGGGTAAATGACTGTCTTATCACTTTGTTTGACATTGTACAGATATAAGAGAAATGGAAATGAATGGTTTCAACATAGATCACTTAATAAGGCAGAGCCTGGGGTGACCAAGCATTCTTCTAGAGTGCTGGAAAATGGTGTGTGCTGCAATGGTAATCAGAAATTATAACCTATGAGAGATGTATTCTAGGAAATCAGAAGTAGTTCCCTTTCCATACTGTGTTTGTTATTAGAATAACTGTTGTTTTCTGGAATACCTTTACTTTTACTACCATTCACTCACCTTTCTCATAAGTTTAATACTACAAAGCTGATATTCTTTGTCTTATTAATCTGAAACCTGCACAGAAGCTATTTTAGTGATTAATGTATAGCGAAGTAGTTTATACAATGCCGATTGTCTTCTTTCTTGCTCTTGCCTATCATTTGGAAATAGGATCCAGCTCAGGCTATAGTATGTTGCTACTGGTTTCAAGGATTTTTTTTGGAGGTCCCCAAATATCTATTCTTGATATTGTCTCTCTTAGAAGGATACACAAAAAAGGAGCTAATATTTCTAGGGACGGGAACACTTTTAGATGACTTAGGAGGCCCATAGAAACATATTAGTTTAAACAAAAAAATAATAAATTTCTTGGCATTAGATGTTAGATTTGAAATGATGAGTCAGTTTATTATTGATGGATGTCAACTTCTCCTTCATTTTTGGGCATGCATGAAGATTGACACTTGGCGCCGATTCCCTGTGATTTATGAAATTTCAAATTCACAAAGTGAGTGTGCTCACCATGATCTTTCTAGAATTTTCGTGTGTCAGGTACCGATCTTCCTGTACAGCTGTAGCTATACTTGTCTGTTAGCGTTAAATGGTCAGTTGTTATTAGGGGCTTCAGCTGGGCACAGGTGCTTTATTCCTTTATATGTCTTTATCTCACCTCCATTCCTAAACTGATAAAAACAAAGTCAGTTTCTTTGTCATTTTGTTCCCTTACCTGAAAATATATCTATTTGTGAACTTCATGCCTTTTGGTAACAGTCAGTGCACAAAAGGACCAGGATCTCTTTTTAGTTGTCACAAAGTGTGGGCTACCCTTATAATGCTACAAAGAGACAAATCATTTTAAAAAATATATACCATTTCATTGGCACCACTGAACATTTTCAGAAGGCCTTTGTCACTTTCTCTTGTACTATAGTTCCCTCCCCGCCCCCCGTGGAGGATGATTATTTTATTATTGATTTCCTTCCACACAGAACAGCATCTTTCAGTGGTCACTAAGAGCACACTTTGTTTTCTTCGCGGCAGGGCATGTAGATGATGATTGAACCTTAGGCTCAATGGCGCCTTGAACGGAGCTTGATCCTCATCAAGTGGACACATTCTGATGGTTACAAATAGACACATTTTGGGTTTCTGTGATGCTTCAAAAATATAATTATGTAACTACATGATGTGAAACTCTAAGAATTCAATTATAAAAACAGTAATCAGTAAATCTCTGTTTGGTCTGCTATATACAGTATTGTAATGTGACAGATAATTAAATAAAGACAGTTTTCCAAATGATGTTTTATTTGTAATATTTCCCCCATAACTTTAACAATAGACATTTTTCAAGGAAAGCACATTTTATTTAGGTCCATGTTATTGCTAGACCTTCCTCAAGTTTAGAGAGAGCCTTCCTGGTTATAATGATAATCTTTCAGTTCTAATAATAACTTCCTAGCAGAGTAGCAGAATAAATTTTGTCTGCAAATGGAGTTTTCAAAATAGTAGTTCTAAATAGAGCACACTTATTCACCAAAGATATAAAAGTTTGGTTATATAATGACCCTTTCACACTCTGCTATATCTAAAAATATATGGATGCCAATAGCATTGCTATTATTCTGGTGAAAGGAATAGGTTAGAAGCTATGAGTGAAAAAGAAATAGATGCTATTCCGCTCTTAGTTCCAAGTATTAGTACTCTGCATAAAATACACATTTATTATTTTCTTGACACAGGTTGAAAGAGATATCAGAGTAATTACAAGTCCTTACACATATCATGGTTAAAAAGGTTTCTAAGATTGTGAAGGGTACAAATGGCACAGCCTGTCCCTATCTATTACCTGAAAACCTAGATCTAAGAAATGACTCATGGTTATTATCTCCTAGAAGGGTGAGAATTGAATATGACATCTTATTTAAATTGAAGATCTTATGTCTCTATAAGACTTATGTATAGCCATAGATATTTTTTTTTCCAGGCAGTAATAAAAAGGAGGAATTAAAATTTTTTCTGAAAGATAGTTTTAAGTAAACAATATTTTGAACTGTTTGTGCCATGCAATAGTATTGACTACCTACAGGTAAATTATTCTATTTTTCTGGAAAAAAAATTTTTTTCTTGTCTATAAAAAAATTATAGCATTTACTTTAAATTTTTTTGAGATTGAATTTTAGTAACTATTAGTATATGAAATTATAAGTTATATTTTGATATTGTTGAAAATGTGTTATTTATTATATTTCTCCTTACCGATATATAAATTTTCATGTGTTGATCAAAAGTAAATTACTTATAAAGCTATAATAATTTTATAATATTTCATATATTTCAAATATGACTCCTTAAAATAAAAACGTTTTCATGAAAAAAGTGGTGGATGTTTTATTATGAAAAAATAAAAATTTAGAGTTTTAAATATTGGACTTTTTAGTTTTGTTTGAATAAATGATGGGAATAACATGTGATGGTTCAGACCTTTATGTTTTTAACACATCTTTGGCATATATTTTTCTCAGCATATTTTGTACAAAGTATAACTCTAAATTATTTGCTTTGATTCAGTAAAAACAGATATGCACTGCCACAATACTCTAGGATAAAATAATCGTAAGTTATTTCTGTTGTAAGATGGAGGTTTAGCCAGGTTGACACTTTCCCCTTTGTTCAAACAATTTTGTCGCTGTAGTTTCCAAACAATAATGTGAGTAAGTAGAAGAAATATCAGCCCATAGCTCTTAGGTAGTTATGCCTTTTGGATTCATTATCCTTTTGATGCAGTTTAAAGGTCCTATAAGAGCTGTTAAAATATCATGGTCTCCTTACAGATATCCTGCTAATTTCATGTGTTTGGGGTGGGGTCCAGGAATCTGCATTTTGACTCATCTTCCAGGTGATTACGATGAAAGTGAATTACAGATCTTTACTCTGAGGTCTCTGAAGGTCCTGGTCCAGCTCTAGGGTAGAATGCTAGTTATGACTTCAAGAACTCAAGGTCTATCAAGGTAAATAGAGATGTAAATGATCTCTAAAACAATTAGATAAGTGCTAAAATGTATATAAAGTAGTATGGGGAAAAGGTGTATGTGACAGTAAGATTTCATTTCATTAACTTGGCTATTTTCTAACTGTAACTTGGTATCTAGAAGAATTTGTCATCTTAGAGAAATAGACTTCCCAATCAGCACACTATGAATTAACCCATGGGCTAGTTTTGCCTCAGTTTACATGTAACATTTGATGCTTACTGTTGATACAAATAAATATTGGCTACTTATCTTATCCTTGTTAGGTATTTTATCCTTTTCTAGTTTTGTAGATAGGGATCCTCTGAAACAATGGTTTCTAAAGAACATTTTACTTTTAGTAGAATGGAATTGACATGCATGATAAAATTGACCTCTCAATGGGAATAACTTCAGTGGGTGCTGTGGTTTTGAATATGGAAAAGCTAAGCTTCTAAAAATGTTATTTGAGTTCTCCTTGAATAGATTTTTCTTTTAGCGAGAGGTCCCTTCATGTAGGGATAGAGTACAGAACATGATTCATACTTCATTATCTTGTGTGCCATCTAAAAATATGAGAGAAGTAATGTTTATGTTTAAAAAACTATAGGTCCAATGAATGAATTTAACCTTGAAAAAATGATTTTTCTAAAAGTTAGAATTTTTACTCCCTTGTTGAAATAGGTTATTATAAAAACAAATTGGTTTTAATTTTAATAGCTTTCCAGTGAAAAGTAAACAGATATAAAAATGAAACAAACCAAAGACTTTCTGCTTCATAAAACGAAAAGAAAATTCCATGTTCTGCAATGGTATTGGAGAAAAATGAGAAAATGAAATCCTGCAAATTTAAGGAATGGTGGAAGAACCATCACATACTTTAGCTTTGGGAGAGGGACAATGGGAATGTCGTAGCCAACTTCCTTCAGTGTCCTTCCCTCTTCTCCACTCCTTCCATTCCTGGCTCTTTCTGCTCTACCCAACCTCCTTCCGTGGAGTTCCTCAGGCCTCAGACCTGGGTTCCTCTCCCTGACTCTACCCTTTTCTTAGGTGACTCATCCACTCCTGTGGCTTTAAACATCTTTATATTTACAACTCTCAAATACATATCTCCAGTGGCTACCTCTCTTCTGAGCTCTATACTTAGATGTCCAATTATTTCCTCGACATCACCTCTTTGTGTGTCAATATGTCTAGAAGAAACTTTAGACTTTAAAGTCTTATTTTCCTCAATTTTCTTTGACAAGAAATGGAGTCATAATTCACCTCACTGCTGCTTCACCTTCCACATCTAATTTAGCAGCAAGTCCTTTTCATAGTATCTCCAAAATATCTCCCAGATATGTCCACTTCTTTCCAGTTTCCTGTCATGTGTTTAATCTACACCTCATTTCTCACTGGGCTGCTGCTACAGGCTCTGCACTGCTCTCCTTTCTTCCATCCTGCCATCCTCCAATTTATATTTTATACTGTAATGAACGTGCTCTGAAATGTTTATGGAAAGACATGAATGTTCAGCTTTCTTTGTAATGGAAATGTCAGTGTCTCATTTTTTTTTTCTTCTCTGGAAGGGTTTAACATTAAGCTCTTTTTTGTCTTTGAAGGAAGGGGCACCAGTTTTTGGATGATTTAGCTTCTACTAAAGGGCCCACAGAGACCTGTAAAAGAACTAGGAAGAATCAGAGACAAGAGGAAGAACTTTCACAGGTGGAGACTAAAGGCTATGAAGCACACGTGTGTGTGGGTGTTGGGAAGGAGGAGGAAGAGAGATATGTTTTTAGAGGCCCAAACAGAGGAGGGTTATGCCTTGTTTTCCTGCAAGTACATTACGGCTAGATGGAGTGTTTAGACCAACAGGAAGCAAAGCCTTCTAACGAGTCCTAGTCTCTCATTATGGCAGAGGCAGTAAGACCCATAGTGAGGGGTGTTTGAGCACCCAAGATCCTTTTGGAAGCATGACTCATTGCCCAGAGCCTGCCAGTCTTCCCAGAATCAGCACTTCACACCCCCTATTTGTTTCCATATCAATGCTCGGTGAGAATTTTGTCACCAGTCTTGCCTATTATTGTTTAGCAGGGGTGTCACCCCCTCAGCCCAAACCTCTGGCTTATTTTAGTAGCTACCCCAGGATCTTTTTTTGCAGTGATACAACCTACACACGTAAACCTTAGAAAAGAGAAATGGTGCCTTGGATGCCTGGTGGAGTGGTCAGGAAAACCACTGCTTCTGTATGTGGGAGGCTGAGCTGAACTAGCATGAGTCCCCTGACTGGGACATGGACAAATGTTCCTTTCTGCTACATTTAATGGGATCACACCACTACCCTTCGAGCTCCTTATAGGGGCCTTCAAAGCCCTTTCCATCTCATTGCCACACTCCCCTTAGCTTTGTTCTAGTCCTAGTCACATCAAACTTTTCTTTTCACTTCCAAGCTCTTACCTTTCTCAGAGCTTTTCCACTTGCTATTTTTTTTTCTGCCTTGAACACTTATTTGCATAGTTAGGTCCCTGTCATCTTTTGGTTATTAGTTTAAATGCCACTTCGTTAGAGAAGCCTACTGTGACCTTCTTCCTCCCCTTATTGTATGCTTGTTTTAGCCCTTGTTCGTTTCCACCTAATACATCATTATTTGTAATTATTTTATTAGTTTTTATTCTATATTCCCCACTTGAATATCAGCTTCTTGGGGTGGGATTGTTTATCTCTTTCTTGCTGTTGTATCCCCAGCACTTAGCATGGAGCCTGGTATACACTAAGCAGTAAAAATATAATTATTGATGAGGAACTTCAGCAAATATTTGTCGTGTATACTGTGTGCCCAGTTGCAGGATCACCTCACATAACCCTCAGCAACCCCTGAGGTAGATAATGATATCTCCATTTTAAAGATGAAGAAACAGGTCCAGAGAAATTAGGTAACATGCTCTGAGGCATATATTTGGTTAGTGGCAAAGATGGGATTTGAACCCAATTTTGAGTTTAAGTCCTGAGGTCACTTCAAAATCACTACTGTTAATACTTTACCAGTGCAATGTTCTGAGTCACTCAACCAAGGAAAGTTGTTGGAGGGAATTAAAGCCTGGAGAACAGGGTTAGAGACTCAGTTAATTGCTCTTGTCAGCAGAAGTAAGGGAACAGCTACACAGAGGTCAGGCCAACAAGTAGGCTTAAATGAATGATGAGTTTTAAGTTAGAAAC